CTTTATCCTGACTCCTAACTACCGATATTTTCGCACTTGGGAAAATCGATCAATACGTGCGGAAAAATATGTGTGGCGGCGACTTCTCCCAATGTTTCTTCCTTCTCCCGACGTTTCTTTGCACGAGTCTCTTCCTGACATGCTTTAGCCACCATTGGAGGACTTTGGTCCCCCCCCCCCCACCGACACTACTGGCCGGACACGGGCGTGGCATGGCCAACTTTGTCCGCCGCTGGCCTAGCCCTGCCTGGCTATAGCTGGCTGGCTATGGCCAGCTAGGAGGGTAGGAACAAGCAGAGTGTCCCGCTGATTTGTTGGTGGAGGAAGGACATGGGGAAGAATAAGAAATATAGGACAGGGCTCCTAATGCAAACATATATATGAGAGAAAGTATAAAGGTGGCTAGGTGATTTAAAAATAGTCCGAGTTCTCAATACAAAATTATCTTCTAGCTTTTAAGCGTGAGAATTGGAAATGGTCGGAGAAAACCATCAAATATGCTCCTAAAGTTTTTAAGTGATTCGGGAAACTCATTGTTTTAGAAATTCTTTTTTTAGAACTATTGGAATGTGTTAAAGGTGTTTGTCCGGTTGACCCCCTAAGAGGATATGCATTGTGGAAAAAAAGATGCACTAGCGGGAGAAAGAAACATCCAACCACTGATTTCGCAACTGCAACGTGTGATACCAGAAGAAATTTTCTATCCTCGATGCCTCCAAGATGTGTAGATGCTTGGGAATTAGATATGATGATGTGAGGCCACTATTATTGGGCTCACCCATTACTTAGGGCCTATTTGGTAAGGATTCTCAGTCGAAGCACTCGAGGAAAAGCCACTTTTTACCATTCTCGCTTCTGGCCAAAAAATGGCTCTGGCTTCTCTACTATTTATCACAAAACAACTTTTCCTTCTAAAGTGTTTAGTACGGCTCCTTCTCCTAAAGTGTTTCCTAAAATGCTTGATACAACTTCTCCGCATAAGTTGTTGCTAAAGCTGAAACTGGAGCCATGCTAAACAAGCCTTTAAACTTCTGCCGGTAAAAATAGAAGTACTTCTTTCACTTTTCTATCTGTTATTATGTGGACCTATAAGTGCAGGCTATACAATGCAGCAAAAACTAATACAAAGCATCATTTGTGACATGGGTTGAAGCATCGAATTTAATTGCACACCGGGTGTCTTTCTAATATATTGGTTAATTTGTCCTAACTACCTAGACATATGCCATGTTTGGTAGATCTTTGGCTCCTCCTAAAAGGGCTTTAACCCTGGCTCCTCATGTGGAGTAGCTTCTTTGGTAGAACTGAAGCCGTTTAGAATTTTTTTTGGAAAAATGACTGTAGTGGTAGGTTTGTAATAATTTATATTAGGTTTGTGAGAAGAAGCCATTTTTTCTGCTTCGGCTTCTATGTACAAAAACGGCTCTGTCTGCTCCTCTCTTCTTGTGAGGAATCATTTTTTATGGTCATTTGGTAGGGTTTAGGGTTGGGACGAAAAGTGTAACACCTTACGAAAAAGTGAACTCTAGCTTGTTCGCTGCAGTTGCGGCTGCGCTATTTCTACAGTAACTGCAGAGACCAAAGTACAGACACAAGCTTTGCCGCAGCCGCCATAGTTGATTATTATCCAACTTACTCTGTCATTTTATTTTTATTAGTGGATGTATGGATAATCAATAACTCATTATGGATGCAACATGTATACTATGGAGTATGTGGATCATAGATGTATGTTGTAGTAAATCAATAACAAATCTTATTGATGAGTAAATTGAACCACCTTACTTAGTGGAGTAAACTAACTGGAGTACTGGACTTGAGGAGGGAGTTATATGAACTTTAAAAAAAATACAAAAAATGATATCTGTATGGATTTCAAGACGAGAAAGGTAAACAAAGAGAGTACAGAGATGGCACGACTCTAAGGAACACGGATGGATAATAATGAATTCATTTGTGGATAATATAAACTTCGTAGGAAAATAGAGGATCGTGGAACGACCTTTACAGTGCCGTCGTTTGCACCAATCCTCGTCGGTGTGTTCTCTCTTCATCAGAAAGAAACAAAAAACACCATTGCTGTTACTACTGTGCAGTGTCCTAAGTCGTAATGAGTTCGTGCTGCATAGGATAGGCAATTATATCCGATAGGACTTCAAGTAATCCAGATAATTATCCAAAACATGTATCCTAGTCGGACTGAAAGTTTGTCTGCGCCTCTTGCTGGCCAATATAAATTTGCACGTACACGCGCCTTTCTTCCTCGTACTCTCGATAAACGATACGTACAGAAACTTCAAACTAGTTGACGAGCAGTTAGCACTTTTGATTCGACAACACAACATGGCGATCAGGACTTGGGCATGGGCGGTTTTCCTGCTGCTCGCGCTGCTGTCGTCGTCGTCCTCGTGCCGTGCAGCAGAGGCGCCATCGCCACAGGTGTCCGCCGACGCCGACCTCGCCGCCATCGACGACGCGCACCGCACTGGCTACCACTTCCAGCCTCCCAAGAACTGGATCAACGGTAAGTTCGTGCCTGCAAGCGTCATTGATCTTTCTATATCCTCTGTTCGTCAACTGCTACCGCGCTGGTGAGTCTAACCGTCGAGATCTTGTCTTGCACTTGTGCGCGCAGATCCTAATGGCGTGATGTACTACAAGGGCGTGTACCACCTGTTCTACCAGTACAACCCCAAGGGCGCGGTGTGGGGCAACATCGTGTGGGCGCACGCCGTGTCGACGGACCTCGTCGACTGGGTCATGCTCCCGCCGGCGATCTACCCGACGGCGCCGTTCGACGTCAACGGCTGCTGGTCGGGCTCGGCGACCGTGCTGCCCGACGGCACGCCGGTGATCATGTACACCGGCATTGACGGCGAAAACAGGCAGGTGCAGAACGTCGCGTACCCCAAGGACCTCTCCGACCCGTACCTCCGTGAGTGGGTGAAGCCGGACTACAACCCCGTCATCGCGCCGGGGCCAGGGATGAACGCCACCGCGTTCCGTGACCCGACGACGTCGTGGCAGGGCCCCGACGGGCTCTGGCGGCTGGTGATCGGGACCAAGGACAACCACCGGGGCCTCGCGATGCTGTACCGCAGCAGGGACTTCAAGCGCTGGGCGCCGGCGGGTCGCGCGCTGCACTCCGGCGACACCGGCATGTGGGAGTGCCCGGACTTTTATCCCGTGAACTCTCCAGGCGTCGGTGGCGGCGGCGGAGGCACGAAGCACGTGCTCAAGGTCAGCCTCGACTTGACACGGTTCGAGTACTACACGTTCGGCGAGTACGACCAAGCCACCGACACGTACGTGCCGGACGCGGCGCTCGCCGACGGCAACGACGGGCTCCGGTACGACTACGGCAACTTCTACGCGTCCAAGACGTTCCTCGACACGGCGAAGCAGCGCCGGATCCTGTGGGGGTGGGCCAACGAGTCGGACTCCACCGCCGACGACCTCCGCAAGGGCTGGGCCGGCGTGCAAGCGGTCCCGAGGAAGGTCTGGCTGGCGCCGGACGGCAAGCAGCTGGTGCAGTGGCCGGTCGTCGAGATCGAGTCCCTCCGCGGCAACCACGTCAACGTCACGGACACGCTCGTCAAGGCCGGGCAGCACTTCGAGGTGTCGGGGCTCGCGTCGCCGGCGCAGGCCGACGTGGAGGCGTCGTTCCAGGTGATGGACCTGGACAAGGCGGAGCCGTTCGACCCGGCGTGGCGCGCCGCGGACGCGCAGACGGTGTGCGCGGCGCGGGGCGCGGAAGCGAAGGGCGGCGTCGGCCCGTTCGGGCTGTGGGTGCTCGCGTCCGACGACCTCAAGGAGCGGACCGCCGTGTTCTTCAGGGTGTTCAAGGGCGGCGACGGCGGCAAGCACGTCGTGCTCATGTGCAACGACCCGTCCATGTCGTCGCACGCCGACAACCTCTACAAGCCGACGTTCGCCGGCTTCGTCGACGTCGACGTCGCTCAGACCCGCGGCAAGATCCCTCTGAGGACTCTGGTACGTCACTTGCAGCGCCTTTGATCATGATGATTACTAATTTGTTGTTGCGTGGATTATTTGTCTGATTAATAATCTTGTGAATTTGCTTGCTATCGATGCTGACTGCTGAGTGCAGATTGACCACTCGGTGGTGGAGAGCTTCGGAGCGCACGGCAAGACTTGCATCCTGTCGAGGGTGTACCCGACCAAGGCCATCGGCGACGAGGCGCGCCTCTACGTGTTCAACAACGGCGAGTCGGACGTCAAGGTCACCCACCTGAATGCGTACGAGATTCGGTCGGTTAAGATCACCGCTGACGTGAAGCAGAACACGTGACGTTTCTGGCTGCGCCCGTCTATTGCAAATATGCATATAGCTATCTACTAGAAAGATAGGTTTATTATGTGTTTTACTATTTATGTCAGATTTATGTAATTTGATTAGTTTGGGTGCATATGAGTCTTCTAACGGCAAAATAAGGCTAATGTATATATACTAGATGGAAATTGGGATTATATACATGTGCTGATTTGTGGACCTCTGTCTCGTCAGAATCTTTTTGTTTCACGCAAGCAAATTTAATTATTTTTTAATTAATACTGTGCTGAATATTCAGCTCAAGTATTTTGATAACGCATCCAGAAAAACCATGGTGGGAGTGTGGGACCTGCCGTATTATTTTGAAACAAAAGAGTAGGCTACATCGCAAGTTTTTGTATTTCAAGATGTTTTAATTTTGTACTTTGTAGTTAAATTTCTTCAACATTGACGAATTAGATACATGGAAATAGATAATCAATCATACGCCAAAACGCGTCTTATCAGTTCAGACATGAGAACTACTCCGTTTTACCGCCCATCGGTTTTGGATGAACTTTCAATATTCAATATTCAATCATAGATGAATTGTTGTTACTGATTTTTTTCACTGTGACCGTATATCTGCCGTAACTACTGCACGCACATGGTAACTGGTCAAAATAATACACAATATGGTTTGTAGAATTACAAGCCGTGCAGTCAATTACAGCGGCACGAAGATCACTTCCCTGCCCAGCATGAGGAAGACGACAGCCGGAGTGCTGGTGCCGATGGCGATGACAACGTAGGCCGGCCACCGTGATACGGGTTCCACGGTGATATAGACGGCGGTCATGAGCGAGACGAGCATGCCGAGGCTGGCGATGACGGTGAGCCTGTGACCCCACAAGAGCTGGTCCACCTTGAACCTGACGGGGTCCTGCCAGGCCCAGATGAAGCAGAAGACGACGACGATGGAGCTGCACATGGCGATGGTGTTGGAGACGACGAAGATCTGGAAAGCGACGTGGTGTCCCTGAAGGGCGATGCCGGTGGTCTGGTTATAGCCGCCGGGCATGGTGAAGGTGGCGGCGAAGGTGACGGTGGCGATGAGGGTGGCGACGAGGATGTAGGTCTCGACGATGCGCTCGAAGTACTTGTCATTGCCCCTGCGGCTGGGGTAGGTGGCGAGCGGCGGCAGCTGCTGCTTGCGGCACCTCTTGGACTCCTGGTACCTGAGCTGCTTCCAGAGGTACATCTCGTAGGCGTCCATCTCGCCGGTGTGCAGCTTCTTCTCGACGAGGCTGCGCGCGGTCTGGCCGTCGTGGTCGCGGACGCAGGGGTCGACGCGGCTGTCGTTGAGAAGCATCAGCGCGGAGTGGACGCGGCTCATCTTGGCGGCGAGGTGCAGAGGCGTGTCGCCGTTGTTGTCGGCGCGGTTGAGCAGCTCCGCGGGACGGACGCGGCGGAGCAGGCACCGGAGCGCGTTCGCCTTGCCGCTGATGACGGAGGCGTGGAAGGCATTGCGGCCGTAGCTGTCCGCCATCTCGGCCACGTCCGGGCAGTGCCGGAGCAGCGCCTTGATGGTATCCGTCGAGCCGTACTGCGCGGCGACGTGCAGCGGCGACATGCTCATGTGGTTGCGCTTGTAGGCCAGCTCCGTCCGCTTCTTGAGCAGCATCTCCACAGCTCTCTGGTGGTCCTTCTGCGCCGCGTAGTGCAGGGCGTTGTTGCCGTCGGAGTCGGTGAGGTCGATCAGATCAGGCCTCCGCTCCAGCAGGATCTCCACGATCCCTGTGGCGTACGTGCGCGCGCATGCAATTATATGGAATTTTTGTGAACACGCGATTGTTGATGCGGCACGACTATGTACGGGAGAAGAGAGAACAGAATCATGTAGCGCTTACGGTGATGGGTGCCCAGCACGGCCTGGTGCAGAGCCGTGCCGCTGAGGGAGATGGAGGGCAAGAACTCCTGGCCGACCCAGGGGTAGTCGACGATCTTCTGGACGACTTGGACGAGGCCCTCGCGGGCGGCCATGTCCAGCGGGGACTCCATCCGCTCGTTGAGGTCGTGGCCGCGGTTGGGGTCGGCGTCCAGCAGAGCCACCGCCACGGCGCCCCTGCGGTGCTGCACCGCCTCGTGCAGCGCGGTGTCGCCGACCTTGTTGGTCATGATCAGAGGGCTCTTCTTGTCTTGCGGCCACGTCAGGGCGCGGTTGACGAGCAGCCTGGCCACCTCCAGCTTGCCCGCCTTGGCCGCCAGGTGCAGCGGGGTGTCGCCGTCGTCGTTCCGGGCGACGAGCAGCTCCTCGTTCATGTCCAGGACCTCGCCGGCGAACTCGGCGTGGCCGTGCAACGCGGCGAGGTGGAGCGCCGTGTTCAGCTGGGGCGTCGTGGCGCTGAGGACACTGGGGTCCTCCGGATCCACCAGCTGCTTCAGGCTCGACACTTTCCCCTGCGTCGCCACCTTGTACAACGCCGGATTCATGCGTCTCTCGCTATCCATGGCTTTGAACAGAGCGTTTCTAGTTGCAGGCTCTGCTGTCAATCTAATCTCAGTACATCAATTTCAGTACAAGAACGATATAGGAGCTAGGTGGGCAAAAGTAGTTCAGTTGGTGGACAGGAATGTTGCAGCACTGATGACAGGGTACCCTAAGGGTTAGGACGGCAGTTCCTATATAATATATAATATATGACATGATAAGATGTATACTTGCTTGCACTTCGAACTTTCCAGCGAGCTAGGCTGTGCTTGCAGCTTTGGTAGCATCAAAAGAACTAGTTACTTGCAAAATCGACCTTGGTATATTCCAGTTCTCCTCTTCCTGCTGCATCCGAATGCTTGCTTAGCCCACATGGACCAAGTTTGGTATACGTACTGGATATATTCCAGCTCTCCTCCTAAAGCATGATGATGCCATCAACTTATTATCCTTTTGCTAGCCTCTAACTTCAACGAATCCTACACAAAGAAGACAGGACACCAGAACAGGGATATTGAATACAGACAATGCAAAACAATGCAAGAGATAAACCTTTTGCTTTTTATGGGATTGCATATGCAGGCACCTTGAGAGACAATGCAAAACAATGCAAGAGACAAACCATGAAACAATGCATCCTGTGTAATTACAACCTCGTGCGTTATTGGCGTTTGGGCCTCGGCAATCGTGGGATTACCATGAATCGGTGTGCACTGTAACAAAACTCTGTTTTTGCTTAATGAAAAACATGCTATGACACGGTCGTGAAAAAAATGCAAGTGATAAACCATTGCTGCGCTTGTAATTACTCCCCTGGTTCCCCAGAACAAACTATAATTTGAAATAGAGAGAGGACCAGTGTGAGACCCCACTAATGGGCCAAGTGGGCCGGTCTGATGGCTGGGCCGAATGGCCGAGTACCGTAGCGACAAGGCACTGTAGCTCAGGTTGCCGGTAACTGTAGCACGTGGAACACTGTACCTACAGGATTTTAGTCCCACATCGGAACCTGAAGGGGAACCGAACCAACTTAAAAAAAAGTCTCGGTCTGAAAAGCTGTTAACTCCGGTTTAAACTTTTTGCGCGAAGCGAGGACAAAAGCACCAGAGAGTTAATTAGCAGATGTGATCCATTCAACATGTAGAGTAGATCTTAGCTGTCTTCCACGCTAGGGCGTTACAACCAGGTACACCATTCATTGGCTTTACGAGACAACAGCGGACATCCTACAACTATGGGAGATGGGCTTCGAAGATGGCCTGTAGTTGACAGTTCTCCGTCTGATCACGCGCCGCAATGCCAGAATCTTCCTCGTCTTGCAAATTCTTAACCCGCTCCTAAGTGAGCTCTGAGTACAAATCTAAACAAGAATTCAAATAGGATTTGCTTTCCTAGCCTAGCGGTAACTCTCTTCCTTTTGTGTGCCTTCCAAGTTCCGAAGGGTCGTCCCTGACGAATATGTTGGCACTTGAGGTGTGCCTTCCCGACCGGCTATGATCTCAGATCGGCCGATAGTCGGCCTGTTCGGTTGGCTGGTTCGTATCGTTGCTGGTTCGTGAAGAAGTACTGCTGGTTGGTTTGTGTGAGAGAAAAATACTGTTCCGGCTGGAAATTTACGATCGTTTACGACAAGCACAATCCAAACGAACAGACTGAGTATCTTCATGTACCTCTTTCGGAAGCCAGCGGTGATGCATTTTTGGCCCCACCCCGAAGTACTTCGGAAGGTGGCTTCGCGATGCCGCCAACCCACCATTTTGGAAATCCTTTCAAACGAAGCAAGTTGACATTTTGGGTTCATGCAGTCGGGAGATATGGCCCTCCAACAGGGTGGACCTATCTTCAGCCTGTTCATTTTGGCTTATTCGCTCGTATCTGGCTTATAATCCGTGACTTGAACAATATTTTTCTCTCACATCAAATCAGTCAACAGTACTTTCAGCCATGGCTTATAAGCCAGTTCAGCCAAAACGAACCGGCTTTATGACTCGTTAGTTGGCCGAAATCAATACCAGTCATGTACTAAGAGATTATTGACTTCCTAAAATTTCAAAATTTATCTCACACGGAAAATAAGTAGTAAGGGCTTGTTTATTTGGCTTCTACTAACCAAAAGCGAGCAGCTGAAACAAACATCTCAGCTGTTGAGTTGGTTTTTGAAAATCCGGAAAGTTGACTTATGAGAAAATGAACTTGAGAGCATTTTTCTGGCTTACCGGACGTCGCCTCCTCAGTCATCGGATGGATGGGATTATAGGGGTAGGGGTATTTTAAATTTTTCCCCCATGGTCTAATTAAAGAGGAGAGTATTGAAAAATAGAAAATGAGAGAAATCCTCGGATCAAATGAATTCGTATGCTCATGATTAATGATTAATTTTTTAAAGACATACGAATTGAGTGTTAAATGTAGAAATATGCGCATTTTTTTTTGAAAAGCGTCACTTTGGTTCCAACCCCCGACGGCTGCTTCCCACCCCTTGGGAGCTAGCCACTAGACCTCTGGTCCATCCACGAAATGGGCACATATTCAGGTTTGTTGAGTTGTAATCCAAATTCACTTATGTACAAGATAAAGACTAATTTCTGCCAGAGTGAAACGAGGCCCGTCGCCGGGAGGCTTTATATGTTCAATATTGGTGGTTGTGCTGTGAGTTGGAGGGCAACATTGTAGCCCGTTGTTGCCCTGTAATCGGTTTGGTTGAAAGGTTTATTTGCTGAGTTTTGTGGAGATGATTCTTGCATTAATTTATTTTTGTGACAGTCAAAGTGCTATATGTCTCACTAAAGATCAGATATTCCATGAGAGAACGAAGCACATTAATGTCAAATACCATTATGTTCGCGATGTTGTTGCGCAAGGTAAGCTGAAGGTATGTAAGATAAGCACACATGATAATCATGCTGATATGTTGACAAAGACAGTTCCTGTTGCTAAGTTTGAGCTTTGCTCAATCTTAGTTGGTATAACTGTTTAGCCCAAGAGGCTATTTGGCACCGGAAGTATTTCTTTATCGTTTCAGGGTAAATGTTCGTTTTATGCTACAAGAAGAAATTTGTCTTAAGGTGGAGTTTGTTGAGTTGTGATCTAAATTCAGTTATGTACAAGATAAATGCTAACTTCTGTCAAAGCGAAGCGAGGCCCGTCGCAGAGAGGCTTGGCCGAAGTGAAGCGGAGGCTAAAGTTAACCCATCATATTTCCCTACCGCGCCTCGAGGGGGGGGGGTGGGGGGGTGCGGGGGCGGAGCCCCCCGCGGTATGGATCGTCGCCTATTAGGGTTTTCCATCTATATATACTTTCTATAAGCCGTCGTCTTGGGATAAGAAAAGTTGTAAATCCTCGACGATTGTAACCTCACCCGATATAGTGAATATTTGCTGGCCGATGCCCGTGATTTTTTCCTTCTTCCTTGAAAGGGTTTTCCACGTTAAAATCTCGTATCCCCTGTGTCGGATCTACTGTTCTTCATCGTTTATATTGCCTATCGTTTCTAACGAGGTCAAATATCGAAATTTCTCGTGTAGAGGATGTAGAGTGACTTCAACATTTGTTCGGGTCTGCTGAGTTTGCCAAGATCCGCGAACTACTATACCTGAAGCGGAGAGTACAGATACCAAAGCCTTTGTCTTGAGCACTTGAGCTTGCATTCACATGCGGGACGAGGAATGGAATATATGCCAACGTTGCTTTGCCAAGTAAACGATATATACCTGTATGTGTACAAAAGCAGTGTCATGCTGGTCGAAGTCCAAAGTGCAAGCGACGGATCGAACTTAGAACTCCAACAGTCACAATCAGTTCTTTCCATATGTAACCAATCATGACATGCGTAGTAGTAGTATACATGGATACGGTACGTTGTGCCAAAGCAAAAGCAGAGCTCAGCTTGTAGCCCTTTTTTTTCTCCCAATAAAGCAGAGAGAGGGTGTACCTAGAGGCGCACCCTGCTCGACCTGCATTTGTGTGTTGCATGCAAAAGCAGCGCAGGTCAGGCTTGAGAGTTGAGAGAAGCTACCTAGCTAACCAATACCCATGGAAGCAATGGAGACGGAAGCGAAAGAAGCGAAAGGCGGCATGGATCCCGCCTTGTACAAGGCCGCGACGCAAGGGCGCGTGGGGATCCTGAGGAAGCTGGTGGTGAACGACGTCAAGATCCTCAACTCCAAGACGCCGCAGGACAACACGGCGCTCCACCTGGCCGCCTTGCACGGCCACCCCAAGGTCGCCCGCGAGGTCCTCGCCGTGAGCGAGGAGCTGCTCGTCACCCGGAACGGCGACGGCGACACCCCGCTGCACCTGGCGGCCAAGGCGGGCAAGCTGGAGGTGGCCAGGCTGCTCGTCAGCTTTGCCCTGGCGTGGCCGCAGGACATGAAGAGCCCTCTGATCATGACCAACAAGGCGGGCAACACCGCGCTGCACGAGGCGGTGCAGCACCGCAGGGGCGCCGTGGCGGTGGCTCTGCTGGACGCCGACCCCAACCGCGGCCACGACCTCAACGAGCGGATGGAGTCCCCGCTGCACATGGCCGCCCGCGAGGGCCTCGTCCAAGTCGTCCAGAAGATCGTCAACCCCCCCTGGGTCGGCCCGGAGTTCTTGCCCTCCGTCTCCCTCAGCGGAACGGCTCTGCACCAGGCCGTGCTAGGCACCCATCACCGTAAGCACTGGGAAAACTTTCAAATGCAGAGCACTGCTACATATTTGATATTTCTCTCTTCTCCGGTTCTCCCGTACAGTCGTGCCCGCATCAATAATTGTTCACAAAAATGGCAGGAATCGTGGAGATCCTGCTGGAGCAGAGGCCTGATCTGATCGACCTCACCGACTCCGATGGCAACAACGCCCTGCACTACGCGGCGCAGAAGGACCACCAGAGGGCGGTGGAGATGCTGCTCAAGAAGCGGACGGAGCTGGCCTACAAGCGCAACCACATGAGCTTGTCCCCGCTGCACGTCGCCGCGCAGTACGGCTCGACGGATGCCATCAAGGCGCTGCTCCGGCACTGCCCGGACGTGTCCGAGATGGCGGACATCTATGGCCGCAACGCCTTCCACGCATCCGTCGTCAACGGCAAGGCGAACGCGCTCAGGTGCCTGCTCCGCCGCGTCCGTCCCGCGGAGCTGCTCAACCGCGCCGACAACAACGGCGACACGCCTCTGCACCTCGCCGCCAAGATGAGCCGCGTCCACTCCGCGCTGATGCTTCTCAATGACAGCCGCGTAGACCCCGGCATCCGCGACAAAGACGACCAGACGGCGCGCAGCCTCGTCGAGAAGAAGCTGCACACTGGCGAGACTGATGCCCACGAGATGTACCTCTGGAAGCAGCTGAAGCGCCAGGAGTCCAAGAGGTGCCACAAGCAGCAGCTGCCACCCGTCACCTTCTCCGGAGACAGCAGGACCTCCAGCCACAAGTACTTCGAGCGCAGCGTCGAGACCTACATCCTCGTGGCCACCCTCATCGCCACCGTCACGTTCGCCGCCACCTTCACCATGCCCGGCGGCTATTACCAGGACAGCGGCATCGCCATCCACGGCCACGACACCGCCTTCAAGATCTTCGTCATCTCCAACACCATCGCCATGTGCAGCGCCATTGTTGTTGTCTACTGCTTCATCTGGGCATGGAAAGATCCCATCAAGTTCAAGATTGACCAGCTCCTGTGGGGCCACAGGCTCACTATGATCGCTGGTCTGGGCATGCTCGTCTCGCTCATGGCATCAGTCTACATCACCGTACCACACAAATCACGGTGGCCCGCCTACGTCGTCATCGCCATCGGCATGAGCACCCCGGCCGTCGTCGTCCTCATGCTCGGCCGGGATGTGATTTTCGTCCCGCTGTAGCTACGTACTACTAATCATCAGTCGTCAACTTCTCCCATCTGCAGGTGCTAATAATTTGTGTTGTAGAATAAACTTTCTTGATCTCCATCGGACCATATTCAAAATTAGAATTAGAGTAACCTAATACCCTACTGAAGCTTGAGACAGGTTTGAGACTTTCTTTTGAACCATAACTGCCAAAAATCTTTCAGTGATCTTCAGTTTGTACTCTTATATACACAACAAAACATCCTGACCGACAGCACATCAGCCCACTTTCTTTGATGAATTAAGAACATGAAGACAGGATAGTCTTCAGAGAGGTGGCACTGGCAACCCACTATTTGGGAGGCTCTGAGTCCATACCACGGTATCCCATAGAACCCGAGCCGCTTCCGGCTCATTTTAGAGGAAGAGAGCAAAAACAGTTTGGAGAAGGCCTTCAAATATAAATCAGCACGCGTGTCCTGAACAAGTATCAAAATTTCTCGTCTGCCTTGCCGGCGGGCCGCGGCCATCGGGCTGCAACATGCTGTCACCGTTTCCGGTGCTTCTCATGCCTTCACTCCGGCCACCGAGCCCACGACTGCGGCCGCGGTCGCAGCGCGTGTCGTCACTCATGTTGGCAGGATACAAACCGGGAACTCACCACGCGCTGAGCATCGAGCAGCCCCTCTGCAGTCCGCACCCGCAACCAGAGTTACTCACGTCCAAGGAGATCCTGGGACCACTAGCTCGCTTGGCCATGCTTGCTGCCAACCTTTCGGCAAACGAGATTTTTTAAACTGGGGTGGGAATGAGGAGTGTCGGAGCGCTTAAACCCCAAAAAAGATAGTTTTTTTTCTCATTTGCCACATTCGCATAGTTGTGAAAATCTGTGATTGCCATATGGTTTTATGTCTTCACGACCTTAAGTAAGGGGTTTGATTCTAAGATCCTAGTGAGCATAATCTATGGCCCTGCTCGACTGATGGTTTCTATGGCTGATAAGCCGGTTGATGCTGTTTTATTGTAAGAGAAAAATACTGTACCATGGCTGATAAGCAGTTCAAACGAACAGAGCATATGTTTCTACATTTTTTTTACAATCTTACCTAAAGTCATTTGAATCTACGATTCTGATAACCATGAGTATTAGGATACTAACGGAGACATGGTCTAACATATTTGATGTGTCTCCTTATGAATGATTCCAAATATACTGTGAGCGCAGAGGGGCAGCGGAAGCGTCAAAATGAGCAAGCAAATTACTCACAAGCATTTCACCGAACACCTTATACGCATACTAGAAAACAGTCCCATAGGATTAATTCTTCGAACATGGTGCTGCCCAAACTTCACAGTAAGGAATATACTTGCAAAGATCAGCTCATTAACACATCAATCCCCATCATGAACATATCAAAGAACACATGTATGTCTCATGTGCCAATTCAACATACACCATGAACTTGGACAAAATGGCACCAATAGCAAGCAAGATAGGAACCAATCAACAAGTATGGCAATATAAATATCGAATCACAAATAGACACTAAGATTTATGTGAAAACCCCTTGCGGGAAAAAACCACAGACGACGATGAGCAAGCAATCCACTATGAAAATACAAGAAGTGGGAGCCAACGAGGTTGGGGGAGGCTCCAAATCCCCTCTGAGTTCACTCTCTAATGGATGGGTTTAGTAGATCAAAGCCTCACCCCTCAAATCTCATCTCTCCCTCTCTCAACCCCAACCAAAAGGGAAGAACAAGCACATACAGAGAAGGGGAGCTCAGGCTCCCTATTTAGGCTGGTTTGCCCACCTTACAAAAGTGCCCTCAAAGTTGAATGTTACAAATGAGCCCCTAGATACCTAACCAAAAATATAAGCATTATTCTGTATAACTAGGTAGCGTGTCCGTGCGTTGCTACAGGATAGCTAACATTTTAAACTAAAAACACACGGATCGCACGATAAGATAACAATACTGTAAAAATTAAATACCAACGTTAAAGTGACATTTAATCCAAAAAGCAAAGTTTATGAATTTAACACAGTCACGGAGTGCACGGCGTCGCAGGCTCACAAACTCTACTTTATAGACCTTTCTGTGATGCGTATAAGATAATGTTTTATATTGGCAGAAAAAAATCTCCGATATCCATTTCTTTCGTGCGCCAATAAATCCACGAATAAGTTCCGCTGCATCTCCATACCATCCTGTACACAGGCTCAAGTATATATGTCAATATTAGTGCCTATCGCATGGGTAATACTGTGTCTCTTAAAAAATCTTCCACAAAAACTAAAAACAAAGTGTTATACTCACCGTATAAATATATGTGGCTTTTGGTCTATTCCACGTAGATATATATTGTAGAATAAGATATCCACTTAAGTGTCTATGGTAAGATTCACGATCAACGATATATATAACTTGGAGTACTCGTGCCTAATACTGCAGCCGTCGCTACAAAAGACAGCGCAGCCACCGGTACATGGGCACACGATAAAGGACTTCATCTGCCTTCTGCCACCTAATATTATGGAAAAACATAAACAACAGAAGATGAATCTACATAGAGTAACCTACATGACAAAGTATCTAAAGAAGCCATGCAACACTAAATTCGCAGAAGAAATTCCTAATGCATACATAATTTTTTTCAATTCCCACTGTACGGCATAAACTTATTCCAGTCTGTTTCCACTCATGGGTTGTATAGAGGATAAGCTAATGAGTCATAACAACCATGGTATGCTCCGATATATTGCGGACCACGATCGGTCCTGCCATATACAACCACACTATTATCAAAACGACGACTGACCATAATTATTTCACAAGCTCCTGATAATAACCCCTACATTGACCAAATAAGCATACATTTAATGTGCAATTTAATTTCCTCCCAGAATTATATAAAGCATACCCAATATTTAAGTCATTTTACAGAGATATTCAGAGAGGACGCATGCTATGACATAATGGGCGCCTTGTAACCCAGTATACTCAGATAGGATGCAGCTTAATATTGTCATCTGGGGCTTCGAGCACAGATAGAATTTTCTTCATTTATTTTTTGAATGAATGGGCATGACATGATTCAGATGTAATATAACCTCGAATTACCAGATGAAATTAACAGATGGTATTACATATGATTCAGAGAAGCATTGCATCATATATGATTCATGTAGAAGACAACTTCGAATTTTTGATAGGCCAAATACTGCATAAAAAATGGTCTAGGCCATTTCACTACACTAATCAGCTATATGCTTTCAAGATCGCTATCTACTGCTGAATACTGATCTCATGGGCTTGCTATTGCCTCTAAACTGTGCTACTTGCCATCATCCCTACTATTGGCTGCATGGAGCTTCAGGGTCTCTCCTTCTTTTGTTCACCAATAAAGCCTAAACTACACTGCACATTTACAGGGCTGCATCACCACATGAGCGCCACATTCTTGTCTGCACTAAATTACTGCATTCTTCAAGAGTTTCAGTGCATCATCACTGATTTGTTATAGCACAAAGGATAAGAAAAACTCCTGGCCAGCTATAGCACACGATGGCATCTCATGAATATTATGCTGACAGCCAATGAATCTCACTACTGTTGTTGATGTTTTGCATCATGTAAATCCTGCAATCTGCACATTCTTCTTTCTTCCCCTCTTTTACTGAAGCCAATTATTTTCCTGACATCAATCAGTTAAAGTGCATGCTCTCTTATTAGCTGAACATGGCCTGTACATTTACCAACGCCTTGTAATCATGTACCTCATGGGTCTAAAATCCTCCTCAAACAGCTGCAATCTGCCACCTACTCTCCATCATCTTCTCCCACACATCTGCATCTTGGGATCTGACTTCTCCTTCTACATCAAACTACAGTCACAACTCTGCTGTGCACCCTCCTAAGATGCAGGGCTCTACTTGCTTGCTGTATATACTGTAGTCTATCATTTCTTCTCAACTAAATCTTCTTGGCTCTCAAACTGTGACTCAAAATCTCTCTTTCTCCGAACTCTCAAATTTACTTGCTTTCACTGAACATGCCAGTCTCACAACTGATCAGACACCACTCTACCACTTCCATTGCTCTTGAAATCTTCTTTAGAATACTATTCTGTAAAGGGCTTCTTTGATGAAAACCTCTGAATATTGATCTTGTGACAACTACCATTTGCATACCATGTGTCGGTGTTTCGAGTAAACACCAACTAGTAAATTTATATTTGTTGCGCGTTAGGCCCGAATGGTGCGCTAAAGGACACAAGGTTTATACTGGTTCGGGCGGAATGTCCCTACGTCCAGTCTGCTGCTGCTGTTCGTGTTATTAGCACCGAAAATGGTTCGTAGTAGGGGGTACAAACGGTCGAGAGAGGGACTGGTCCCATGTCTCTGATGGAATGGTCTAAAGGAGGCCGAGAGCTTAGTCGTTGCTCAGCTGTGCGTGATGTGTTGTCAAATCGTGTCGATCAATCTCTCTATGAGTTGATCCGTCCCTCTAGCGGGGTGTCATGCCCTCCCTTTTATAGACAAGGGGGGGCAGGGGTTACATGTCGGAGAAAGGAGAAAAACAAGAGGCCAAGAAGACCCTCCGAAGGCGCTGGGTCTTCCTTTTCCTCTGAGCCAGCCTCGCTGACACGGGCAGACAGTGTCAGAGAGGGCATGTTCGCCGGGCTTTTGTATGCTGACGATGCTACACCCTTACTTGATCAGCAAGTGGTCACGTCCTGTCCCACCCCTGTGGGAGGTGTGTTAGATAGGCTTGCTGACTTGCATCCCTGTGGGGAGAGGACGGCGCGGTGACTGCACGTTCGCCATTGTAGGGGACGTGGGTCTCTTCCTGGACCGTAGCGGTTGTCGTATGCTTATGTTAGGTTCCGTGCCCGAGGGCTTGATGGCGTCGCCTACAACACTGTAGGACTAAAGACGGCGCCTACAACACTATTTAGGATCTGCTATGCCTGGAAGGGTCTAAAGCGCCCGTCCCGTCGTAGCCTGACGGTACTTTCCCGCAGTCGT